GCACACCAAAAGAGAAAAAAAATAGATAAATAGAATACAAGAACATGGGACGCGAGAACTACGTTTCAGGTAGGAAACACAGACATGTCGTCAGTCACGATGCTCCTATCCCCCGTCTTTAGCTTTTACCCCGCATCCCAAACCCCTCAACAACGAGCAGAGAGAACCAAGGAAAAGGCCGAAACCACCAACGAGACTGTGAAAAAAAATAATAGATAGATACGCTCTGCGGATGCAGTGTTCAACAGGCCAAACGCTCACCCATCCCCAGAGTAAATTGCCTGGGCGGATGTGCCAACTGGAAAGTCTGTTGCGGACGCCTGCGGCAGCAACACCACTTGTTGCAGTGGGTATTCCTCTCTGTTTCCCCAGCCAATGAAATCAACCACCACTCTCTCTCCTTCCTGCAGCAACACCAAACAAACAAAGCAGCAAACTGCAACCTGTTGCGGGCTACAAGCCTGTCGCCATCTATTTTATTTCTTTTGAGTAAGAAGCACACAGTAGTCCTGAACCTCGAAGGAAGCAGCCCATATCTCTTGGCCGCTGCACGCCGTGGAGACTAAATAGCCCCACTGGCTTCAAAAGTATCTTTGCGGGGGCTAACCCTACACTGCCGTGTGCGTATCCCTAGACGAAAACGATAACGAACAACGTGGGGTGTATGCATAGACAAAGCCCTGGCATCTACAGGCGCACCTTGGGGTCCCGCTTCACCTCAACTATTGAGGCGTAGTACCGCTTTCCCTCGTATTCAGCAGAGCAAGTCCTGCCTACTAGGGGACCCCCTGATGAATGCTGTTCATGTGCAACCGCAGCTGTCGCTGGGGTGGCTGCGGCTTCAGTGCGAGAAGCAGCAGCCTGTTGCTGCTCACGGGGAGCTGCTACTGCTGGAGAAGGTTGTTTATCTGCGGTCGACGACTCTTGAGGCGCCGCTGCTGCCGCCGCTGCCACAGCTGCTGCGGCTGCAGCAGCTGCTGCTTCTACTGAAGGGTCGGTTAGCTGCTGCTCTTGCTGCTGCTTGTACTCTACGAGGTGTCTCGTCAGCTGTATGACTTCTTTCAGGTCCGCCTGCAGGCGTTTCAAGTCTTCGGTTTCTTCCTGTTTCAATGCATCCTCCACCTGTTGCAGCTGTTCCTCATACAGATTCTGCTTCGCCTACAGAAAAAAAAAATCACACAGATCTATAACGCAATGCAATGCTGTTTCCCAGGGAGGTATATCACGGTATCTCGTTGCGCACTCATTTTTAATAAAAAAAGGCAATCAAGCCATACTGCAAATCCTCCCAATACACTCAAAAACATATTTACATGCATATATATGCATACAGATAAAAACTAATTATTCCCTGGGCCTTTCGTGGAGCCCAACCACCAACCCTGTTCAGCAACTCGACAGCGAGCGGTGCAACAGTTTGCTTCCTAGGGGGGTGGAACTGGGCAGGGAAGAGCCTGAAGGGTCAAATACAATGCATGAAACACCACAGATGAATAGCTACCTTGAGTTCTTCGAGTGATTCCTCGAATTCCGCCATTTTCCCCCACTGCTGTCCTCGTCGGCGCAAATGGGTAAGAAATGCGGTGGCGAGGCGCTTTCTGCCGCCCCTCTATATATGAAGGCTCTGTAGATGAAAAGTGCTGTCGATCCCTGCTGCCGATTGGAATGAGGATTGGCTCAAGGATAAAAGACAAAATATGGTCCGTCGAACAAGTCCAATATAAGCTGCAGTACAGGCGCGGTACCTCGTTCTTAAAAAGGTCTATGTTCAGCTCTCCTGGATTCAATGCCTTCACTTAAAGTCTGCTGCGTGCCAAAAACGTTGAAACGTCACAATAGTCGGATGTCGGGCTCTGCGCGGTGCAGACGGCTAAGGCACGGAGCCCCCGAGGCCCTCAAACGGCGCCCCCCCCACCTCGAAAAAAAATAAGAACAAGGACGATAACCCCATACAAATGAAGGCTGAAACTTTACCGCCACAAGGTAGTCTCAAGCCCGAAATCCGCAGCAACACAACAGCGCATGCGTTGCCATTCAGAGAGGAAGGATGCGAGAGCGGCGGGCCCCAAACAGCCTGAAGGAAAGAACCGACATTTCATCTAACATCGAGTAAACCATTTCATTTGTTTCAAATTGTTTTTCTTATGTTTTAAAAAACATGCTCGTTTTGTCCCGAAAGACAGGAATATTTCGGTGCCTGCTGCTTGTGCTTTCCCATGAAACATGCCGCCACACCACTGCGTTGCGAGTCTCTGGGCCTTCGTCTTTGGCACGTTGGGGGGCACCAGTAGTTGTGAACTCCTTCATGCTACTTAGAGAAAGTCAAATATGTAGAATAGCATTAAATCAACTAAAATGCGTGCACGAACATACACAAGCGATTTCAGGAAGCGGATAAAGAATAAAGGACGCTCCGTCCTAGACGAGAAGAACCACCGTGAGCTGCAGGAATTAAACGAGCTCAAATAAGCGCTCACAAAAGAAAGTTTATCTTCAGTCCAGTGTCGAAGTGTTCTGGCAACTGCGGTGAGGGGTAGTTGAGCTCTAGCTGGGCCCTCCACGGCTGGAACGAAAGGCTCTCTTGAGTTGGTACTTTATGTTTCTATTTGCGCTGGTATATGTCACTGAGGGCCAAATAAGTGTTTCTTACTTAGGCTGCACCGCTCAGAAGCTGAATCTGTCCTCACCTGACCGCAGGATGCCAGCAAGAATAGCCATGAAACACTCTAGTGACCTGATTCGTAAACGTAGCTCGCTGGATATCAGTGGAGTTCATCAAGGGGTTGCCGTCAGTTAGAGGGTTTGATAGTATTTACCTTGCTCTGGATAGACTCAGTAAACTCGCCCCCTTTACCCCCAGTGTGAATTCAATACCCGTGGGCGTCAAGGGAGAGAGGAGTCAGAGAGATTCACCATGCGCTTTTAGGCCCCTGCGTTACTCATTCTCTCATTAGCTTGTTTGAGTACATCGTAGATCTAGTCGCGTTGTGGCGATGTTGCCATACCAATACCACCGGTTTTCTGTAATACAAGATGTTGCGTTCCGGGTGCTCCGGGTGGTTGCTCACTGCATGCTCTTCACAACGTTGGGTTGCATGCATCACCAAGCGGCGCTCAACCCATTTAAACGGCACAGAGTCCCGTACAGTACGAGTGGTGACACCCAGGGTGGTTCTGCAGTAGCGAGACTCGGGTCGGAGGCACCAGCAGTATATCGAAGCAGCCTCCTAATACCCATGTTATAAGACATGGAATTTGTTACAATATATTTTAAATAACAGTAGCACGCCACAAGTTCATTTGACCGCTTGGTAATGCATCAGCTATGAAGCGTGTAGCAACCGAAAACAAATAAAAGTGTGCACCTCGGCATTTTCTGCACTTCTGTTCTCCCATTTCGGCATTGAAAGCTCTTGCCCCTCTCGTAAACCCCTTCCCATCTCTCTCTTCATCCGCGCATTGAGGAGCAGCCAGGCGCACGAGAGTGCTTGCTGCTTTGCGGAGCACAGGTGCAGGTGTAGCATGGTCTGCCTGAAGCTGGTACTTGCATTTCTACTTGCGGGCAAGCTGTCTATAAAGGGTCAAGTAGGTGTTGAACAATTCTCTACAGTGTTGTTGCACGAAGTGTAGGGGGCTTCGTTATGCATACTTGCGGGGGGTCCTTGCAGCACAAGTTTACAGCCGGAAGCGCTGCAACTCACAAAGGCTATCGGCTCACCGCCCGACCCCCTGGGTACCAGGACCGTTGTGTGCGCGACGGTTGGAAACTTCAGGGGACATTATATGCTTTGGAGGATGCCGTTTGACTCTGTTGCACTTCACGGCTGTCCTCCTATAGGATTAAGGGCTCTCATTATACTCTTCGTTCCAGCCCAAGTCTCGGTGCCACTGTGCCCAGCACACATGGAGGCTGGAGAGCGGTCAGATGCGTTTCGGAAAGCTTTATCTTACGTAGTTTGCCCCGTTTGCAGCTCAGAAAATTCCTCACTT